AGATTGGAGACTGACGAAAATTAGGCTTGGGGTGGATTAATGATTGTGCATTGAGCATTGACCCCCCTATACAGAATTTTATTGTTGTTAACAACCATTTGATCAATAAATATGAGAGATGCTCTCTCAAAAAACAAAAAACAAAAAACAAAAAAAAAAGTACAGACTTCCAATTGTAAAATAAATAAGTAACTGGGATGTAATAGATAGCATAAGGAATATAGTCAAAATATCGTAAGAACTTTGTATGGTGATAGCTGGTAGCTAGAATTATCATGCATATAAATGTTGAATCACTGTGTTGTACACCTGAAACTAATGTAATACCGTGTGTCAACTACCCTTCAATAAAAAATAATAATAATAATAACCACAAAAAAAAAAAGTGGACTTCTGAATATCAGTGTGTGTCATAAATTACATGTTTATTTTGCACCAAGTCCAAGATCCTTACCAGGCTACCCCAAGCCAAGAAAGACAAAAAACCTGTATCTTCTCATTTGGATGCAACTTGCTAAGGACATGTATAAATAAATACATTTCTTAGAAGAAACCTGAAATTTTGTGAGGCTTTGAATAGGCTTGGTAATAAAGATATGTGGGTCCTTCTGAAACAAAAAATATATCTTTAAAAATGTAAATATTAGTATAACAACAAAGCAAAACTGAAGGAACGAAACAATAGCAGAGTCACAGACTCCAAGAAGGGACTAGCGGTTACCAAAGGGAAGAGGTTGGGAAGGGTGGATAGGAAGGGAAGGAGAAGAGGATTTAGGGGCACTGTAATTAGCAGTCACAATAAAGGTAGCTCATGGGGAAGGCAGTACAGCACAGAGAAGACAAGTAATGACTCTATTACTACGCTGATAGTGACTGCAATGGGGGGACGGGGTGAGGACTTGATAATATGGGTGGATGTTGAAACCACATGCTGTTCATGCGAAACCTTCATAAGATTGTATATCAATGACACTTTAATTTAAAAAATGTATATATATATACACACACACACAAACACACCTGGAAAAAAAAATGTAAATACTAGTAGAACTAGAAAATAGGATATCTATCTTCCAAATTACAGCAAGATAAAAGCAAGTAAAACAGTCTGTATAACAAAAGGCAGGAAAAAAGTAATTAGAGTCATGAACAAGCATGAATCATAAGATTACCAAAAACAAAATACATAATGTAAACAATACATGTGAATGAGTTAAAGCCCCTATTAGAAGACAAAGACTCACAGTTTGGGTAAAAAAGATCAACCATGTGCCAAACAAAATGCTGCAAAAAGGTTCAAAAGAACACATAATGCAAACATTTAACCCAAAGTTCATGTGAATTATAAATGTAACCGTGGCACTTACTTCTCAGTTTTGCATAGTGGTGGTGATAAATAACCTCTCCTAGAATGCCAAAATAGACTGATGAAGTATGGACCCTCCTGTGTCAGCAACATGTGCTTGCTAATCCCTCACCCCTTCAAGGCTGCCCTCCTCTCCTCCTTCATGTGCTCAGGAGTTAATGTGTGTGTAATGTGCATATGTGCTGGTAGAGGGGCTGTGTAGGAGGGTGCCACTCACTTTCAACTTTTGTACCACAACCAGAACTTGGGTATGTACCCTTTGGGGCCAGAGAATGTCACAAATGCCAAGGCAGACTGTTCCAGAATAGACTGATGGGCCTCTAGGACACCAGGCCAAACACCACTGTCACAGC